AAGCGAAAGGCTATCTCTATCAGCCGAAAGCAATACAAGTACCATTTAAACACGGGCATCGAACTTCAACACAATATGAAAAACAGAGAATTCACAATGAATGTCAGATAAAAAAAGTGAAACTGAAAGGTCTGATTCATAAATAATTTAACAACAGAACGACTATTCTTTTGGAAGACACTGAGAAGTACGAATAATGAAAGATAAAATAAGATCTGAAAAGAATGAAGCCATAAAGAACACACTCACAATAAGCGGTTTGCAATGCTCTCTCACATAAGCTCCTGCCTGTGTTTTCTCGTTCCAATCCAAACGACCATGATAGAAGTATTTCGTCCTGAAATTCGGTTTCCTGGCAATTCTAGTGAACAAAACGAACCAATTGATTTTCTAACAATAAGAATGAATGCGCAAAAAAGCTCGAAACCGTTTCATGTCTAGCACAGACTGAAAGATTCACTGTTTCTAACAGTATTAGTTTCTGCGACAACGAAACATTTCGTGGACGACTGACCGCAAGCTCACTAATAATAAACTGAAGAGTAATCTTACTTCGATTTTCGACACATTCGGTAAGGAATAGTTCCCAGGATTCGTTCCATCATAGCCAAATGCTCTCGGTTGTCATGAGTTTGGAATAAAGTCATGCCCAAATATAACTCAAACATTATACAACCTATCGACCAAACATCACAAGGATGAGACCAACCTAATTCTGAAAATGAAAAATAATCAATCAAAGATGAGCAATGCATTCTGCTGATAATAGGCATTCAGAGAAAGACATGTTCCGATATATCACTAGGCATATTAATGCATATGATTCAAAGAAGAGTTGAACATGAATGAAAACAGTGAATACCAAGAATCACTTCGGGAGCTCGGTAATGCCTCGTAGAAACAATAGTGGAATGATGTTCGTGATCAAAGGTGGCTGAACCGAGATCTATCAACCTTACACTAGCATCTTCGATCACACGAACCGGTTTCTTCCTTTTACTGTCATCCACCAATCTGAAATCAACATTTTTAAATACTTCATT